TTTTTTTGTACTTTTTATATTTTACATTTATATTTATTATTGAAACTTGCACCAAGGGAGTGGCACTCCAATTTCGTTGTACTCTGTACAATGACAATAAAGGCTATTCTATTCTATTCTATTCTATTGTCTATTTCTGGTTACTCCCCGTGCCATCCATCCCCAAAGGTTCTCAGTTGGATTTAGATCAGGGAAACGCAAGATGCTCTCTGCAACATCTGGACTCAGCTATCGGCCGTTTGATGCCCCTGTACCTCCTGAAGCTCCATTGTTCCACTGAAGGAAAAAATACCCCAGACCACTATGGTGCTGCCTCCACTGTGGAGCATAGAAAACGTCTCAGCTGGGATCTGCTTGTCATGCCAGTAACATTGGAAACCATCAGGACCATCAAGGTTACATTTGTTCTTTTTAGAAAATAAAACTTTTTTCGACCTTTCACTGTCCCATGTTTGGTCCAAACGGTCAGTCTCAGAGCCCGTCTGATGCTTGTGGGCCTGCAGTCGGCACCAGTAATGCCCTTAATTTGGGTCGAGGATCATCCAGTGTGTTGACCGACAGCCAATTGGATCCTTCGGCTCGGTGCTGTGAAATTTCTTTGGGTCTTCCTCTTGACTTTCTTGTTCCATAACCCTCAGGACTGTTTTACTGCGTCCCACCTCAGCAGCCATGGTGCACTGACAGAGACCCTGCTTATGCAGCTCAACAACTCGACTACTTTCAGAAAGGGAACGTTTTTTGGCCTTTTTTGTCAAAACATCACAACAGTGTGACTACCTGACAGAAAATGGAGATAAAGTATCTGAATTTGCGGCGCAGGACTACGCCTCCAAACACGCTCCTTTCGGTTATGATCTATATATGAATGCTTCCCCAGTTCTACAAGCTGTTCGTTCTCTTTTTCGTGCCCCTCCCTCCCCTTTTCATGTTTTTCACTTCTTCACTTCTGTTTAGTACATGGGGATCTTTTTTTTTCTTTTCCTGTCCCATTTGGTCCTTTAGCCGTCAGAATTTTTGTCTGAAGACCAACAAGGAGACCCAATGGATTTACTTTGCCAAATGGATCATCACGGCATTGCCGTATTGGTCCATTTAACCTTTGTTGTTATTATTTATTTTATTTTATTTTCAGTTGTTACAGACGGGACAGACATGACTGAGGGATAGGAAAGGGAGAAAGAA